TCTATGCATACACAGACACACAACACGTAAGTCCAGGACTCCCTAGGTGTGTCATGACCATACCCCTGGTGCCTGGCACAATGCCTGGTGTATAGCAGGTAGGCAGTACCTATTTTTGAAATGGATAAATGAATGTAAACGTTTCTCCTCATCTTAAGCCAAATGGGTAGGCTCATCACTATTAAAAGATTGCTAACCTCTGTCTCAGACCTTTTGCAGAAGTGATGTCAAAGTAGCATTTTTTATGGGTAGCATCTGCAATTTCCATATTTTATGGGTCAGAAGGGAGTTGTTCTGAGTATTTATTCCATGATGCTTTGAAACCCGAAGTGTATCTATCTGTAGGATTGGCACTGCTGTAAGAAAGCCCTTTATGAGGTCATCATCCCCCACTTGCCATCTCTCCCCAGATGCAGACATGCAGGCTTTTAAAAACATTTGAGAAGCCACCATGCGTCGCTTTGCAAGCCCTCTTTTAAGAAACGTCATTATCAGAAGTCAATTTGATGGCATCAAGAGGAAGCAATGCCTCCAGTATCTGAAAACACTGAGAACACTGCAGTATGATGGATTTAAGACTGTATATTTTGGGGAAACCAATATCTCAGAAAGTCTAGTAACTGGGGAAGATATTAGTGATGGATATTTCATACAAACCCCAACTTGGTGTATTGTGCACGCTGCGGGTAGTCAAGGATGGGTGCCTTGGAAATATCGGTTGTTCCTAAGAGATGAGCTGTGTATCAAACAAGAAGACAGCCTCTTCTCTGAGTTCTGTGATGTGGTGAGGAAGGCCTATGGAAAGTGTGTCATCGTGGTCAAAGAGAGAAGACAGCAGGAAGAGCAGAGGCCAAAGGAAGACAGAGAGGCTGAGGGCCAGTTCTATATCCCTACAGTCATTAACTTAGCAAGCATTGCGTGTTGCCCAGAGGTGGCCAAGTCCTATGGCCATGAACTACTCTCTCTACCTTCCCCTTGTAATTATCTGAACCCTTTAGACTCAGCCTGGTCTTCTCTGAAATGGTTTATCATCAATAACAGAAAAGAGTTTTGTTTGCAGTCCATTGACAGTGTCTATTCTTACGAATGTATACTTTTCAGCAGTTTAATTAGCAAAGGAATTGAAAGGATAAACCCAAGCAAGTGGAGAACATTAACTAGCAAAGTACGGAGATGGGAAAACTACTATCTTGGGAAATTTTCCTAAGGGCGATTCCTCCAACAAGCAGTGAGGCTGCTACATGTCTGGTCTTTACCGTCAACTCTGTTGAGATGGATTCTACACCACTGCAGCCAAAGATACTTCAACAGCGACCCCACAGGGGCACTGCAAGAACTTGCTTGTTCCTAAGGATGTTGGCAAGCACTTTGAGTTTACTAGAAGTTTCACTAAAATGTATTGGTAAGATAGGGGTCTCGACTCTTATCTTGTGAAGGCTGCTTTGAAGGCTTTGTCAAGGGGAGGATTAGTTTAACCCAGCCCAAAGGAGGATGGCGGTAAGCAGGGGTGAGCAGGCTGAAAGGTTGTGTGGTCAAAATTTAGGTCTGAGAAAAAAAGAGAACCAGTGTGCAGTCATCCCACAAAAAGCCCAAATTAAATAGCGTGCCAACCAGTTTCCACCCACCAAAGTCACCCACAGGCATCCAGCTTGCCATGTGTGAGGTATTGTCCAGATGGTCACCAAGCAAGACTCCCTCCTGCCGATTATCCTTCCTTCCTTGTCGGCAAAGTGGTGGAGGATGAGAGAGAGGCATCCGCGGAGGGGAGACTCCATCTGGACCCTCCAAGGGGAGTAGGTGGTCCCAATTAGGACCTGGAAAGTTATGACAGTGGTGGGTTCAAGTGGGCTATGGTGGGCAAAGGGGTGGCATGCATGGGGGTCTGCAGAGACCACTTATTCAGCCAATCTCCCCACTAACTCCAGGAAGCCCAGCAGGTCATTAGACTGTGCCGTGGAGTTTCATCTCGAAACCCTGTAGCTGAGCCACTTGCAGCTGGGACAACACCCCCCATGTAGGTTTGGGGCTGCTGCCGACGTCTGTTGTAAGAATTTGTGGTTGTCTTTTTCACTTTTATAGAAAAAGGCTTGACCCCCATTAAACATATCATAAAATTCACTCTTGGTTATGTATATTCAGACAGTAATTTTAGAGGTAATCATTCTGAGGCATGTAAAAAGAATAATTTATGGCTGGGCACAATGGTTCACACTTGTAATCCCAGCACTTTGGGAGGCCGAGGCAGGAGGATTGCTTGAGGTCACAAGTTCAAGACCAGCCTGGACAACATAGCAAGACCTCATCTCTACAAAAATACTTAAAAATAGCTGGGCTAAGTGGCATGCATCTATAGTCCTAGCTACTTGGGAGGCTGAGGGAAGAGGATCACTTGAGCCAGAAGTTGGAGTCTACAGTGACCTATGTTTGTCTACTGCACTCCAGCCTGGGTGACAAAGTGAAACTCTGTCTCTAAAAGAAAAGAAAAAAAAACCTTGTAAGCTTATATGGGATGTTGATAGTGGTGGTGGGTGGTGGGGCACCCACTCAATTCAGTCAAATCTGCATGAATCTAAAAAATGGCTGTAAAAAATAAGGTCTTTGAAAAAAATTTATGAACATTTCTGGACTGGGCACAGTGGCGTATGCCTGTAATCCTAGCAATTTGGGAGGCCAAGGTGAAAGGATTACTTGAGCTCAGAAGTTTGAGGCCAGCAACATGGCGAAACCTCATCTCCACAAAAAATACCAAAATTCGCTGGGCATGGTGGTGCACACCTATGGTCCCAGCTGCTCAGGAGACTGAGGTGGGAGAATCACTTGAGCCCTGGGAGGCGGAGGTTGCACTGAGCAGAGATCGCGCCACTGCACTCCAACCTGGGTAACAAGTCAGACCCTGTCTCAAAAAGAAAAGAAAAGAAAAGAGAGAGAGAGAGGGAGAGAGAGAAAGAAAGAATTTCTACCCAGAATTTCCTGACAGCCAAGTGCAGAAGGCATCCCATCCTTTGCTTGCCTTCTTTCCCTCCTGAACCTCCCTGTATTATTCAGAAAGACTTTGTCAGATGAAGGCGAATGTTCAGTGCTTTTCAGCAACTAAGTGGTGGACTTCCGCAGCATTTTGTCATGGTTACACAGGGAATCCTGGTAACATTTTTCCTGGAGATTAATCACACCTCAAACAGCTGACCACTCAGAACTATAAAGTTTCCACTGTTGCAGGCCTCACTTGACAGTCAACAGTGCTATATTAGTTTGTCATGGCTGTTGAAAACAAATTACCACAGGCTTGGTGACTTAAAACAACAGAAATTAAACCAGGTATAGTGGCTGTGGTTGCAGCTGCTCAGGAGGCTAAGGCAGGAGGATCGCTTGTGCCTAGAAGTTTGAGGCTACAGTGAGTTCTGATCACACCACTGCACTCCAGCCTGGGTGATAGAGTGAGACCCTGTCTCAGAAAGAAAGAGAAAGGGAGAAGGGAGAAAGGAGGGGGGCGAAGGAGGAGGGGGAAGGGAGAGAGAGCGAGAGAAAGAAAGAAGAAAGAAAGAGAGAAGAAGGAAAGAAGGGAGGGAGGGGAGAGGAGGAGAGGGAAGCGAGGGGA